GTAAACTACCTTACCCCTTACCTACTTTAGACACTACGACGAACGGACGACTAGTAGTAATAGTAAGTACTACTACTAGTATATATATATATATATATATATATATATATATATATATATATATATTTAAGTTTAACACCATTTGTTCATTGTCTTATTTTTGGTGGAGCTTTGCTTTGTTGACTTTGGTTTTATTAAGCATCTTCGCCAAAAGGACACTTCATAGTAAGCGAACTATTTCATTGTGTTTGTCTATCTTTTGCTACCAGCAACCATGGAAATTGCTACCTGTGTGCTCGAAATAGTGAATACATTTTTGGAACCTATCACTCGACAGCTCGGATATCTCTTCAAATGCCGAGAGAAGGTTGAGGATCTGAAAATTGAGATTGAACGACTCAAGGCCCGAATTCCTGATTTGGAGGCAAATATTGAAGCAGCAGAGAGAAGTGGGAAGGCAGCCACGAGTGAAGCGCAACAGTGGTTCAAAAGGGCACGAGAATTGGAACATGAAGCGGATGAAGTAGTTCAAAGATACAACCAAAACAAGTGTTGCTTTAGAGGGCTCTGCCCCAATTGCCCCTCCAACTACAAGTTGGGTAGACACGCAACAAAGAAACTATCACAAATCACGTCTCACATCGATAGAGCAGATATTGTGAATTGGAGTATGGATCGAGCACCGCCATTTGGGAGGGAGGTGCCTACACATTCAATCACAGGTCAGTCAACATTTGGCAAAAATGTAAATAAGATCCTTGAATGTTTGAGTAAAGATGAATTGGGTGTGATTGGCATTCATGGTATGGGAGGCGTTGGAAAGACAACTCTCATGCATGAAATCAACAATCGTCTATTACAAAATCGAGAAGTTTATAGAGTGATATGGATCACAGTGTCAAGAGATGCGAATATATCTAGAATTCAAAAAGAAATCATGAAAAAACTGGGCATAACAGTTGAAGATGAAGAGAATGATTGTTTTCTGCTCTAAAGGAACATAGATTCGTGCTTATCTCAGATGACTTGTGGGAAAAGCTGGATTTGAATGCTATAGTAGTCCCTCGCCCAAACCCACAAAATAAATCCAAGATTGTAATAACCACCCGATCATTAATGGTGTGCAATAGGATGGAAAGTAACCATGATATCAAAGTGGATGTTTTAATAGAGGAAGCGTGGATCTTGTTTCGTGAAAAAGCAAGAAATGTGGCAGATCGCCCTTCTATAGAACCCACTGCTCATAAGGTCGTCAAAGAATGTGGTGGCTTGCCACTCGCCATCATTGTAGTCGGTTGTGCGATGAAAGGAAAGTATAATGTGCATGTGTGGGAGAATGCATTAAGGGCCTTACATGAGGCAACAATGGAGATTGAAGGCATGGAATGTGAAGTGTTTGTGCCATTGAAGTATAGTTACGACCAATTACAAGATGAAAACATTAGGCAATGTTTCTTGTATTGTTCATTATACCCAGAGGACTATCAAATTGAAAATAATAATTTGGCTGAGTGTTGGACGTGTGAGGGGCTCCTAGGCAGAGTGGATAGTCTCAAGGATGCTAGAAACAAAGGCCACAGTCTAATTGAAAAGCTAATTGACTCATGCATGATAGAGGAAGTTCCCGGATTGGATTCATATGTGAAGCTTCATGATGTGATCCGAGATGTTGCCATATGTATCGGCTCCACAAGAGAGGGCGGTCTGATTGTGGAAGCAGGATTGGGACTAAAGGAAGCACGCAGGGTTGAAGAATGGGGAGAGGCCCAACGCATATCGCTGATGCGTAATGAAATGGAGAGACTTCCAAATCCACCGTTGTGTCTGGCCCTCGCAACATTGATGCTCAATCGAAACAAAAAGTTGAATAACATTCCGGAGGGCTTCTTTGAATGTATGGAAGCCCTAAAGGTGCTTGATCTCCGTGGAACTAGCATCTACTCGCTGCCACAATCGTTATCCAACTTGAAGAATCTCCGTTTCCTTTCTCTGCACGCTTGTGAGAACCTAGTCGACATTCCTCCTGTAGGACAACTTCAGCAACTCCAAGTGCTGGATTTGTACAATACCAAAATCAAAAGATTGCCAGAGGGGATGGGAGAACTAGTCAACTTAAAGCTTCTAAATCCATAAAGCATGGGGTTATATCAAGAGTATAATGTCTGGAGGAGCTGGACATCATGTATAGCGGATACGTGGATTGGGAAATGATGGAAGGGGAGGAATTTGAAGAGTTGGAGCCCTTAAGTTCATTACGGATAAGCAGCAATGGGAACGGCCTATTTACCAACAAAAGACAATGGGATGGAAAGATATTTGATAAGATAGAAGGACTATGGCTAGTAGGTTGCCAAGGTTTGACTAGTCTTGAGCAACTACGGCCCATGAAAAGGTTGAATTCTCTGAATATTCAAAGATGTTCTCAATTGGATTTTGTTGCCCTTGATGTTGTTGCTCCCAGCTTGAATCATTTGTGGCTTAGCCATTTGCCAGTTTTGAGGAGAATTTGGCAGGGTGATGGAGACCGTCAGCTTCTCAATCTCACACATTTGCATGTTAGAAATTGTGATGGATTGAAGAATGTGTTATTGGCAAATGTGGTACAATGTCTCCAATGCTTGGAAGTAATGAGGATAAGGAACTGCAGAGGATTAGAAGAGATAATTAGTGGGGAGCAGGTAGGCCAAAACATCACCCTCCCCAAATTAAAAGCCTTGTACTTATATCATTTGGTGGAATTGAGGAGTATATGTGAGATTTCAATGACATGGCCTTCATTGGAGAGAATACATGTGAGAGATTGTCCCAAGTTGAGAAGGCTCCCTCTTGGTCTCCTAGAAGCACAAATGCTAAGAGAATTGAATGGAGAAAAGAAATGGTGGGAGGGATTGGAGTGGGAAGACGAGCCTACCAAGTCTGCTCTCCTCCGTCTGTTCGTAAAAAGAACAAGTAGATGGTGATGGCAAAATGGAGTAGTGTGAGGGGTGGTTACATTACATTTACTGCTTATGAGCCCCGTGAGGTAGCTAACCTTCAACCCCATAACTTGTAATCCTTCTCTCTCCTAATGAGCCAACTTTCATGCCTTTTGTCTCTTTTTCTCGTAAAAAACAATGGTGAAAGCCATATTAGTGGGGCAGATGGCCACCCATTCATCTCTGATTGAATCGGATCACCTGATCCGGGTCGCGTCTGGTTCTATATCTGGCATGGACCCTATCGGACCAGGTTGGTATGAAATATATAAATAATATATTGTTTGACTAGATTTTTTATTTATTTTATTATCATTTTGACTAGAATAAAACATATATATTATATAGTATATGATATTTCCATTAAATTTTTTGAATCGTCGACCCGAAGCATATAATATTTCCATTAAGTTTTCGATTCTAATTTATACCAACTAGCAAAGGGGATCGATCTGTCGCATGAGTTGTAATGTGTACTTTTGGTCATTGAGAGTGATTCTAAACGGTTGGTGGATTATCTGAATCAATGGTGCAGGACTGAGACTATTCACGGTGAACTGCCTATATAAACTCTCAACTTTTTCAAATCATCAATGGTAGATCCTACGCACCTACGGAGAGGCGAGGCGAATATGACAGCAGATTCCTTAGCCAAAGAATCAATGTCTAGAAGTAGAAGTAGAGGGACTGTGTGTAGAGCTCACTCCCCAAATTTTTAATATGTATTCTTTTAAATAATGTTAATTGTGTTCCCTTTTAAGGGTTGTATTGTGATTATCCCTGATGTTAATGGTGTTCCCTTTTATGATTATCCCTGTAACATATTTTACAATCTAATAAAAATGGGTAGAGGCTCATCATCCCCACTAATTCCTCCCCAAAAACACAGAGAAAGTTATTGGAAGGTCACCCTATAAACTGCTTGAAAAATGCTCTGCTCTATCCCATGGCTGGATGGCTATCCAGAGGACCTTTATCTTCACAATGATTGATTAAACATGAGGAGCTTACATTACTTGGGAATGGACTCGCGCCACTCCTAACCAAGTCCACAAAGGATAGAGAATATCGTAATAAAAAAGTTACAGAAATATAAATAATTGAAAAAAATGTAACAGAATTAAGAAAAGGGGTTCTTTGATTTTACCAAATTGTGAATGGTCAAAATGGGCTTAAAAACTTCCTCAAATTGTCGATCTATAAAATCCATGAAATGTAGTTATTTTTTCTTCAATCTGAGTCCGCAAATGGGTACATGTACTGAAAATCTACCTAAATTGAATTCTTAGAAGAAAATATGGGTTTTGGGTCTCTAATGTTTAAAAAAATAAAAAAATAAAAAAATTTAGGGAATAGGGCAGATTTTTTGCCATACAACAGTGATAGTACTTGGGAGAGACCGTACCCACTGTTTGACAAATTCATTTGAGAAATATCTTCGGTTTGGTGCAAAAAGAGGAGTGCTACGGTTCTTTGACCATACCCACTAATTAAAACTTGAGATAGTTCTCTCTAACTTTCGTTTTTTAGATAGTTTTTTTCTCTAAACAATTTCAAATAGTTTATCACTCTAAAATATGATATACTTTTTCGCTTTAAAATTTTAAAATACTTTCTCTGTCTAAAATTTAAATTTTGAGATTCTAAAAATTTTGAGACACTTTTTCTCTTTAAGAAACTTTAAGCACTTTCTCAATCTAAAAGTTAATATAATTATTCTCTCTTAAATTTAAGATTCTTTCTCTCTCTAAAAACTTTAATTTTGAGTTAGTCTCTCTATTTTAAATTTTCAGGTAGTATCTTTATCGAAAATTTTAATGTACTTTCTATCTCTAAAACTTAAATTTTAAAATACTTTTTTATCTAAAATTTTTGAAATAATTTCTCTCTCTAAAAATTGTAGTTACTCTCTCTCTCTAAAATTTGACTTAAATTTTGCAATAGTTTCTCTCTCTAAAAATTTTCAGATAATTTTTCTATACTCTTTCTTTAAAATATAAAATTTGATATTGTTTCTCTCTTTAAAAGTTATGAGATCTCTATAAAAAAAAATTTAAGTTGTTCCTCACTCTAAAATTTAATGTAGTTTTTCTCTCTAAAATTTTGAGATACTTTTTCTCTAAAACATAAGATTTGATATAGTTTTTCTCTTTAAAATTTTGAGATACTTTTTTTCTAAAACATAAGATTTGATATAGTTTCTCCCTCTAAAATTCTAAGATGCGAAAATCATTTCCTTAAAGCACATTTTCTGAACTCTTTAATGTTTATAGATCCACCACCATATATAGTATTAGTATTGGTTGGTGCCCTTTTAAAAACCGTCCATCTCAAAGATGGATGCTTGTGGGTCATCACATAAAACTTTTCCTTCTAATTGTGGCTTTACTTTCTTACGAAAAACCAGCACCCAACCCTTCCGTAGACCAAGAAATAGGGGGGTGCACAAGAACCTGAGTATGCATATCCACAGAAGACCAAGACCAGGGCATTTGTATAGTATGTGATGCGATTGATCATGGTAACAACATTTCATGAGAGTCATCACCTTCTTATCAACAGGTCGCACCATGATGAAGCAGAATGGGCTCCATTACTGTTGTTATTAATTCAATCTTCCTTATCACCCTCAAACTGAAGTCATTGGATGGTGATGAAGCGTGTAATTATGCCATTACCATAACTAAAGAGCCATATATCTATATTTTCATTTGGGATGGTATACTATATGACCATTTACTGTTGCTATAAGACGGTCACAATCATTCTTAGCTCTTAGATGTCAAATTGGATGGCTTGGAGTTTGTCATGAAATATAACAATTATTTTTTTTTTTAACCTTGAATTTAGTCAATAACATACAACCATCCGAGTTAGAATTTGACAGACAAGATTTATTCTCACCTCCTCGTATCGTAGTAAAACTAAATGGTCTCTTTTTATATTTTTTTCTTTCCATTTTATGCCTTGTAAGCATATCTAAAGAAACTTAAATCCAAATAAATAAGAAAGGTTGGGCTTAAGTTACTTCGGCAAAATGGCAAGCTCTTCATGCTTTATGGGTTGAATAATGAGATCACGACATTCAATTGCATTGGAGATACGCCGAAATACTTCACCAATGCTCATTTCTATCCAATTTAAAATTATCATTTATGAACAATCTCATAAAAATAGAAAAAAGACGGACTTCTAGTTTTTTTAATACCTAGATCTAAATTGTTCAGTTTATCCCACGTGAAATTTAGTATATGAGTTAATGACAGTATTTTGGGTCGGAACTTCTAACCCTAGAGCTAATATCAGTCCCAAAATGCATAATATTTTACATTTTTTTTTTCTTTCAATTTAGTGGTAGGAATCGAACTTGTGAAGTAGCATTACTTGAAGTCAAGTGCTAGTTAAAACAAATCACCGCCAGTTAAAGTTGAGCCGGTAATCAACTAAACATAATGAAAGTAAATTCCAAAACTGGAAATAGGAATGCACTTTACTAAACAAAATGAAAGTAACTTCCAAAACTAGGATTAGGAATGCAAAGGAAGTGCACTCGTCTTTTGAACACCCCTTCGCCAGGTTTTCTGAAAATCGCTTGAGCCATCGCATTGTGGCCAAATACTAACTCAAAAAAAAAACAAAAAAAAAAAAACAAAAAAAAAAAACAAAGAAACAAAAAAAAAGAAAGAGACCTTTTGGGGCATGCACTATTTCTCAAAGGATTTAGGACTCAGGAACACATCCCAAATCATTGCAAATTCATGAATTTAGAGCTTCAGAAACAACATACGATCTTTAAAGAATTGAAATCGTTAGGACTCAGAAACACATCCCAAATCATTGCAAATTCATGAATTTAGAGCTTCAGAAACAACATACGATCTTTAAAGAATTGAAATCATCATTCCGAAGAAAGGGTAATAAAAACTATACATAGAATAGAAAAGAAAAGATTATTTTCCCCACTTCAACCTTTCATAGGTCATGAGTTATGACTTGCTAATTGCCGGAAAGAGTTTGAAAACATTGTCCCCACACTGGCACCCCATGCTCTCTAACTTATCTACCAAAACATCTCTCAAACTCAAACGCAGTTACTTAGCATACGAATCTATTTCCTCAGGAGAAAGAAGCCATGATTTTGAGTTTCTCTCTTTCAATTTTGAGGTAAATTTGCAGTACTAGCCATTGAAAATTCTCCCACAAAGTGCCTCCATGTTTTATCGGAAAGTCATTGCGAAAAGGGGCTGTGGTCGTAGTGGTAGCACCCTCACACTCCCTGACACCACCCGACACCACCCCACGAACTCCTTCAAAAAAATATAACTCCTAAATTATATGAAAAAATGAGCACGGCCCACATTCACCACTGAATTACCTAAAAAAACAAATGAGTTGTTTTTTAATAGGAAAAATTTATATAAATATGAGGCTCTAAACAATCGGATTACAGCGCATCTCAAAAATTTCACAAGAAGGGGTTATTTTAATCCTAAAAAAATCATCAAATTGATCATCTCAACATCAATATGCATGGACATGAGAAAAAAATGGATTTCAAGTTTAAGAAATAGTGCATCTTGTAATGTATTTTTGGACCGTCAATTTTCAAGATTTTCAAATTTTCATAGATCTTCTCGATCTACACTATTTTTGAAACTTTAAATCTTATAATTAGAGAGAAAAATATCTTTTAAAGCTATCACAAAGCTTTTTAGTATTGAAACATATTCTCGACACTATTTACATGGGCGCTTTATTTGATTGTTTAGAGCCTGGGCTCTATACAAAGTGCACGATTTTGGATAAGGTGAATTGAGGCGTTCGTGCCCTATTCCTTCAAGTTCGGATTAGGCCAGGGCCCATTCATAAGCATTTTTTGAGCCCTGACCACCCAACAATATTTTGGACCTAAAAAGCCCGCCCCGTGGCAGCCCAAATACCATGCACCGTATATTCACTTTCTAGTTGTCATGGGCACCTCGTTGGTTTCCAATCTTCGGAGATTTTTGCCTTACAAACTTTCGCGTTAACCCTTTTTCTTTGCCTTAACCAGGCCTAATCAAAGGATGTCCAGACAAAAGAAAGTCGAGCTGGAGGAGGTTTTAGGTTTTTTAAAATAAAATATCATATTATCTTTTATTTTTAACTTCTATATTTCATCAGACTCAGGAATTGAAAATATTACTTGTAAGTAAAAAAACTCTATCTTTTCAATCTTCCAACCCTCTAAACCCTTTTGACCATGTATTATTGACCTCAACAACTTATGAAATGACTCTATCTCTCTCTCTCTCTAAAACTTCATCTCTCTCATCATCTCTATCAAAACTACATCTCTCTCTAAAACCCAACCTTCATCTCTCTCCTTAAAACTCAAACTCCATCTCTTTCTCTCTTTAAAACTTCATCTCTTTTTCTCTTTAAAACTTCATCTCTTTCTAAAACCCAAACTCCATCTCTCTCTCTCTCTAAAAACTCCATCTTTTTCTCACACATAAGAAGGTGTGCTCGTGGTCAAGCTCAAGCTAAATCCCTTGGCTGGTAAACTCATCGAGAAGTGAAGAGAGAGAGATAGAGTTTTAGAGAGAGAGAGAGATGGAGTTTTAATATGATGCCATTTTAGGATTTGTTTGAGTCAAAATTTATGATCAAAAGGGTCTAGGTGGTTACAAGATAGAAAAGATAAAGGCTTTTTGCTTACAAGTAATAATTTCAATTCTTGAGTCTCGTGAGATATAGAAGTAAAAAATAGGAGATAAAAAGATATTTTCTTTTCTTTTTTTTAATATGTGTGAGAGAGAGGGTGACTATGGATAAAAATTAGGTTAAATTGGAGTTGTGTGTGCAACTTAGGGACATAAAATTGTGTG